ACACTTTAAAAATGCACCCCTTGCAGTAATTGCCACACACTCACAGAGTATCACAGCATCTCTCCAGCACTTCTGCTTTTGAGGGCCCTTGGCAAAGACTGTTGGTGCCTTTACCTTACCTGTGTTACCTCTGAAATGTGGAGCTACACAGTGTTTGAAGTTATATTTGGCCCTGTCTGGCTTTTACAATCAACAACTGGTGGTCACTGGAGATTTTACTTTGTGATTAAATAATACTGTAAGAGCTTGTTTCTTTGAAAAAAGTTTTTAAATAACAGTAATACCATGAGTGTGATGTGGCACGGGCAGTAAGACCTCTGTTATTTATTGTTTGTTTACCCAGCCCCTGAGGAGTGGAGAGGAAAGCTCCCATAATGTGCTGTCAGAGAATGTGTCTGCCAGGAGATAAGCAACTGTCTGCTTTACAAAGCAGCAGATTACAAAAGGGCCTTTGCAGCCACTGTTTCAGCCTCCCTGAAAACATGAGCTGTTTTGAACTCCAGGAAGGCCCTATTGCTCAGCATGGGATTTTCAACTTCACTACGAGTAAAGCAAGGCATTTGTGTGGGGCAGCCTGTTGGTGCACTTCACTTCTGTACAGGCCTTCAGGGTTCTCCTGCAGCCCCGATGCTGGTGTGGGCAGCTGCCAGCACAGGGGACTTCACGTCCTGCCTGTGTAGTAGTCGGGGTCCCCAGTACTGGTGGGTACCCAGAACTAGCAGGATATCATGGCCTATGTGTTGCAGGGTGTTTCCTAGAAAGTATAGAAATAGAAATAGTAATTATTTATGTATATTAATGTATCTATATATATTTGTATTTATGTAGAAATATATATGCAACATATAAAAAACCCTCCCACAATATTTTGGAATGAACACAGAATTATGCCATTTGCCTAACCCACCTCCTTCTCTCATTTCCTCAACCTTAGAGTCTGATTATTGTTGAATACAATGAGCTGTCATCATGACTCATAAAAGTTTAGGAGTTTGATTTGGCAAAAAAAACAACCAAAAATAAAAACTCAGCATATGGAATTTGTCCCTTCTGTGGCTGTTGCAATCTAGAACTACTTATGCTTCTTAAAGCCTTTCATATGTTGTTGCTTAAACTGAATATTTAAAGCCCTGTCAGATTATCCCTGTTTTCTAAGTAGCATTAACCTGTCAAAGTAAAGGTTTATAATCTTACACTTGGTTGACAGGCAGCATTATTTGTACTGTAATATTAATTAGTACTGAGGCTCCACAGTTAGTTCTAGTTAGGTGTATGAAATCTGATATTTAACATTTCCTAACTAAACAAAAATGGGCCCCTGGGTTAGTTTTTCAAGTAGAACACTCAACTAATCTCTTCTGGCTTAATTTAGTGTTCTTCCAAATGCTGAGTTTAACCTTTCTCACTAATATTCAAGAAGGCTCTAGAACTACTTATGCTTCTTAAAGCCTTTCATATGTTGTTGCTTAAACTGAATATTTAAAGCCCTGTCAGATTATCCCTGTTTTCTAAGTAGCATTAACCTGTCAAAGTAAAGGTTTATAATCTTACACTTGGTTGACAGGCAGCATTATTTGTACTGTAATATTAATTAGTACTGAGGCTCCACAGTTAGTTCTAGTTAGGTGTATGAAATCTGATATTTAACATTTCCTAACTAAACAAAAATGGGCCCCTGGGTTAGTTTTTCAAGTAGAACACTCAACTAATCTCTTCTGGCTTAATTTAGTGTTCTTCCAAATGCTGAGTTTAACCTTTCTCACTAATATTCAAGAAGGCTGATAACATCAATAGCAGAAGGCAGAAGATAGATGGATGCTGAAGTGGACCATCATGATCTCTCTTTGTCTGGAAGAGAGATGCTTTGTTTGTAAGGGCAAAGAGGATTGTTCTGTGCAGGGAGATGATCACAATGACTGATTTACGAAGGCTGATTCAAGCATTAAAGTTTACTCCATCTTCTATCCAGGATTTAGTTTGTTAAGGTGTTGACACAATTTTGCTGACAATTTTTTAAAGTGGATTTTGCTCATAGCCAGTTTTTCAGAGCAAACAGATGGCTTTTCAAACAGAGCATGCCCACAGATTATTTTTTTATGGTGTGTCTAGAATTATGACAGCTCTGTCAGAAGGGGCTGGATTGTCATTAATTTTCTTATGACAGATGATTCAAAAATCATTTTTGCTCCTTCAGCTTGCTCAAATTAACCAGCTGTTTAAAAATAAAAAAATACAAGAAGACTAAGACATAAATCAATTGGTCTGTACGTGAATGGAATTGCACTATTTTGGTAAGTTCTTCTCTGTTTTTAGATCCCTGTAAAATAAGAAAGTCTTCAAAATATTGCTAGTATGCTCAGGAGGAGCATTTTTCTTCTTGGAACCCAGGGACATGTCATGCCTTGCCTAGGATGAAAACTGTAATCTCAATTGCCTGGTTACTTAAATGTAAAATCAGAATATACATAAGGGAGAGCTGATAACTCAGCACCTTCACACAGGGTGTGAAGTCCCTTGGCTTCTGAGGAATTCAGATATGAGTCTTGGCAGGGTGGACTCTGGCTGTCGTCCTCCAAGCAGGGGAGTCTCAAATCCCAAGGAGCTTCTCTTAAATAAGTGTCTTAGAGAGTCTCTAGGCAGACACCCTCAGAAAGATTCCATACTTTGCTCTCACTCTCATAAGGAAGAGGACATAAAGAAGGTGACACAGAATCAACTGAAGCTTATTGTGTCAGCTCATGAAGTTGCATCTATCTGGTGTTGCTGCATGACAGGAAATCCTCCTCTGTGCTCAGCATGCGTGGTTGTTGCTGCTGCCCAGGGAAACACCAGCCATGCCACAGCAGAAGACAAGCTCCTAGAAGTCTTTCCTCAGACACCTCAAATTATGGGATGACAGGTTCTTGAGGGTGCTGGGCCTTCATAGTTGTTTTTCCTTGTCTGCTCTGGCTTTCCCAAGTTATGGGCTTAGTTGTTCTTGGTGCTGTAGGGACAGCTGTTTTGAGTTGTTCCTTGTGCGAAAGGGGTTTTTCTGTTCTTGTGCATGAATACCTAGTGCCAGGGTTTGACTTAGAGAAGTTAAGGCTGCAAAGCGTCATCACACTGACTTTGTCTGCATGTTGCTGCAGCCTTTAGTGTCTTCAGTCCCCTGTGCATGGTGAGAAAAAAAGAGCAGCCCCACTGCAGCTGGATCTCTTTTACCCAAAAACCAAGTTATTTGAAACTGCATTTGTGCAGTGAAGAAGCTTCCACCCTTTTTGCTAACAATATCATGTCATTAATGATACTGATGTTGGATCTCTGTGCCTCTGCCATGGTGTGTTGTCCCTGTTGATATGGTCCAACATGATTCCTGTGCTGTGTGCAGACAGGGAGACTGGGGCACGCCAGGTGCTTGAGGCAGCCATGGGGCTCCTGGATTCCTGCCTGCTGCCTTCAGCCATAAGATCAGTCTCTGTCCTAAAAGCAAGATCACATTTCTGTCAAATATGTGCTGTGTAAATTATTCTTGTTTTGTTTTTCAAACCATGTCTGTTCACTGGATCTCAAGATTATTTTTCTGTGTCTTCCCATAAGCCTCATGCTGCCAAGATACAAATCTCTTCAACACAGCTTCACAACAAATAGCACAGAGCTACTCAGGCAGTCCCAGGGCTTTCTGTTATTCTCACACTGAGCTGGATCCCCAGCATCTGGATAGTGATTTGCATTGCTCAGCAGGGACAAATCCATGCCACCAGGAGATGAGGCAATCAGGGGTGCTGGCTGCCGACCCTGGTTGATGTGGTTTCCCACGTGGTGTTTATCAGTGCAGCAGGACTTGCAAGGCATCATTGTTTCTTCCTTGTCAACATTGTTTATAGGGGCTCAGGCAGTGCAAGTGCAGTGCCAGGCACTGGCAAAAAGAGAACTGTGCTCATTGGTGTGGGATAAATCCTTCCTCTTGGCTCTGGGTAAAGCAAGAGCAGAGAGCTGCTCCCACTGCTGGAAGGTGTCCTGCTGTGACTCCTCCAGCACATCTGGTTTGTTTTCAAAACTGAAGGAGTTGGTGATCATTTGCCTTTCCTGTGTGCCCCAGGTTCTGATGTAATATCTGTTGTTTCCTCTGAGATCCTGTGCAGCATCTGCGGTTTGCAGAGGACAGGTTAGGTTGCAGGGATGTGAATGTGACATTTCAGTGAGCAGAGGTATTCCTTCTGCATATGCATATAACCAGCTGCAGCAGGTGATGTACTTCAAGCTGTACTTCGGGTGACATTAGGAGAAGAGCAGCTCAGTTCTTAGTGATGCTGAATTTTAATAACCAGATGCACCTCCTGGGTTTTATTTATTTGTATCCTCCAGCATCAGAATCTTGTTGCTTTGCAGCACTTGAGATACCAATATTACATAAATATTCATTTTGACATTTCTCAACACCAACTCCTTAATAGAAATTTCATGTAACACATTTTTCTTGATAGTTACAAATTGGATTGACATCCTGTTAGTCGCTTCACCTTTACAGGCTCTGAGAAAACACTGAAGGAGGCTTTTGCTCCTGGAGTCTCTTATTCCCGTTCACTTGGTTCAGAAGGGATACAGTGTGGCACTGTAGGGCTGCTGCGCCTCTTAAAAGTTCACGGTTTGGCCCACCCCTGTTAAAGGAGGGCCTGCAAATCCAGGTGCAAGGAAGGGTGGGTAACCATGGTCTCAGAGGTTACAGGCAACCCCCAGCTGGGGACATGAGGCCATTGCCATGGGGGGAGTCTGGCACCTGTCTCACTCACCTTCCCCACAGTGCCGGCTGCTGAGCTGGGTACCAGGCTGCAAAAGGGGCTTCAGTCCCTTCCCCTGGGGCTGGTTTTCAGGAGGCAGAGGGGATTTGAGACAGGACCTGGGACCTGTTCCACAGCATCAAACAATATATTAGAGACACGAGAGCAGAATTGCTGCTTCCAGTCTCAAGCCATGTGTGCCATCCCTGACTCTCTCCTGCGTGTCTGTCTGTGCATCCTCAGGGCCAAGGAGATCTCCTGAAGAATGCCAAGAATGAAGCTCTGGAGAACATGAAGCAGATCCAGCTGGCGTGCCTGTCGTGTGGACTGAGCAAAGCTGGAAGTGGGCACACGGATGCCAAGTCAAAACGGTGCCTGGAGGCAATCCAGGAGAAGGACACTGGAGATGAGAACGGAAGGCTGTGAAGGGAGGCAGAGCTGTCGCACTTGTCACAGATGTCAATAACTCTAAACTATTTTTTTAAAGCGTTTAA